TTCACAAGATTTTGAGGATGGATGCTCTGGCATCCGAATCTCCAGCAGAGGTTTAATGTCTGCAACACAGTGGCTGTGTAGCAGTGATGCGTCAACAATCTCTCAACTGCGCAGCGAACACAGGCGCCCAGTCAAGCCGCGAGAAGGTTACTGATGTATGCCTGCCTGGTTGGCAGAAAACCCCAATCGCAGTGGCCGTTACATCGTTCCGAAGACTTTGGTGTCACGGTCGTGCCACATGCTTTTGAGCAGCTCGTGATGCCCGGCGCAGTGTCCCAGCTGACCGACCATGACGACTCCTGGTGCTCCGGTCCAAAGTACCCAGTTGCGGCAGTATTTTGCGTGTTGTGGAAACGTGCTCTTTGCATCCCCCGCACACACGATTCGGAAGTTGGATCGCCACCTGATTGCATATATCGGCATATATGCTATGAACCATGAAATGTGTTGATGTCCAGATATCCATATCCATACCTGAGTAATTACACAGCAGTGCGGCCCTGACCGAGCAAGGCTGCGGCTGCTGGCAATGCGAGGCTTCACCGTAGAGGTGAGCGTCGCCGCTGTTCGTGTCAGCCGCGCATCGATTTGCTCTAACTTTCACCCCAGGCACCTGGACATCCAGGGGCTTATAGATCAACTCGATCGCAATCTAAGCATCCCAAGAGGCGAGACTAAAAGATGTGGTTTGATAGGGTCAACGGTCAACTTCATTGTTGCCGTGGCCAGCAGATCAATTCTTGAAACTAGTATTGCCATTTATGCAGCACTAGAATCACTATACTCACTATACGGCCGGGAGATCAACTTTTTCCTTTTCACTGGTGTGTCGTGCTCAGATCAAGAGTCGAGCCTTGGTCTTAACCAAGTTCTACCGTTGGCTTGATCGTAACTGTTGAATCACGCTTGCTCTCCGGAAACATCAACGTCTTCTTGATATGTCCATACGCTCGCTATTGATGCCGCCTGTACGCTCAAACCCAGCTGCATTGAGGGCGTCTGTGAAGGTTCGTAAGTCAAAGCCCCTCCACCGAGTCCCTGCGCGAATGTAGTTCTGAAGATATTGTCGCAGTCCAAATGTTGAAGCATTGTTTGTCAAAGACAGTATCTAAACCCTGTGTAGCGGTGCACCTATCTGCTCGTCGTAGTTCCTTGTCGCATCCTAAACATGAAACCTGACGCAAACTATATTCCACTGAAAGATGTGCTCGGGGCCTCTCGCTGCGCAGTTTCGGTGGCGACAATCCACGTAAAAACACATGAATGAAGGTGGTTCAGTCGCCCAGCGACATGTCAAGCAGTGAGTCTCCACGCATGAAACCCCCATCATACACCTATACTACTGAAGCTCGACCGCTGTTGACCTTCCTCTCGGTGCTTTCGTCGCAGGGTTTAACTGGTATAGTCATGCTTCAACCTGTGGGGGGATGCTTAGGGCCGGGCTGGGCATTAAACTACCCGACATCCACTGCGCATGCAACACCCATTTCAGCAGGAGAAGCGGCTGCTGGCGATGTGCAAGCTCCCATTCCACGGCCGACTCGGCGGACGTTGTGGCACGTGGAGAAGTCCATGACGCAAAAATCTAGGGCCTTGGTCAAGCCTTCCTCAGAAAAGCAATATAGCTGTGAAACAGAAGCCGCCATGTTTGGTTGATGCTCGCATGCAGCATTTACTTTTTTTGCTTCTTTAACCCCCTCCCGCGGCGAAGCCACCTGCGGTGAACGCCAGCCGCGCAAGTCTGCATCAACGTGCCAGGCGAGGCAAGAGGCATACGCCCGAACACATTATGGAACCGTGGTCCTATGAAAAGGCTAGTTTATCAGTGGGTCAGGTCATATGTTGTCAAAACCGGTAGAACACATTTTCCGTGCATCCGCCTATTTGGCGAAATAGCCCTATCCTGCAGTGACATGGAAATCGCGTCCGGTGGCTTGGATTGTGTTGGGTTGGCTGCTATGTTCGTGTCGAGCTGCTTTGGTACACGAAATATGCAGCCCTCCATGCCGCCTGAAGATTCACCGTTTACGTCCTTGATTTGGCAGAGGTTTCTCGGATCCTGCCGAAGGCTGTCACTCGATGCTGCCGGAGGTTCCCACCTTGATCTCGCCGAAGGTTTTCGGCTCCCTGTTAAGGCTTCCACCAGCCCGGGTTTTGAAGCCGTCTTGGTCTTGGGCTCATCATCTGTTGCGATCCGTCACTGAGGGTTTCGGCTTGCACGTGCCGGTTGGCCGGTTGTTTGGTAGTGGCCATGTTCGTTTGGTTGGTTGAACAGTGTTGGGCCTGCGTTGTTCCATTGTTCGGTTGGACCGTGTGTCGTTTCCTTTCTTGCGGTTGTCGTTTATTTGTTGGCCTGCATATTTTGGCTGGCAGGCTGTTTTTCAAGTCAAAATAGACAAAATTTGGACAAGGATGCTTTGATTCAAATGATTCAGCGGTACGCGGCTTTTAGCGGCCCCATAGAATTTTTTGAAATATATGAAATGAAGATTATGTTTGGTGAGGTTTGGGGTCCGAGAACATTCCACAGCAAAACCATTCTGACTGCTTTATAACCCTCAAATCAAAAGTGCACGCCACTCTTTTCAGCAAACCCCAGTAAGGATAGAGTTGTAAGGGTGCAATTATGTCAGAGGAACGGGTTGCCTCCACAAAAGTACTCCACGAATGAATTGGTTCCCCCGACAGTGTGGTACACAATATATGGTGTTCTAACGTTAGGATAAGAGAATTGGTTGCTGTTCCCTCAAGGTGCCCCGGCAGGCTCCCAGGCACCTGGCTCCTCCTGTGGTGCGGTGCATAGTTTGCACGCGTCCCAGTATGTGCACCTGATCCGATGGAGACCGTATCCCGGAAAGCAAGATTCGTTGTAAATTCGGGAACATGGACCACTTTTTGGAATCCAAAATTCTGCCCCCGCCAGTAACTATTGGGAAAATGCATTTTGGCCGTCATTCTGCATAACACTCTGACCGAGGTCCTGAATCCCGCCAATTTGGGTAAGGCATGCTGTGAAATGCCGGTAGTTGTAGGTAGCTTTTGCACGGTGCTCTTGGATTCCGCCAGTACTTGAGGGAAGCAGGGAGACCATGCTCATGAATTTAATTCCGTGTCCTGCTGACCTCCAGGGATCTCCCAGTGGTCTCCTGGTGACCTGGTGGTCGTCCCTTGTGTGGTCTCCCGGTCCTCGTGGTCGGCACGGTTCTCAAGGTTTTTTAACGCCACTGTTTGGATCTACGCCGGCATAACCCATAATTGTCTCGTGTTTTCATTCAGCAAGTTGTATCGAAAACGCCCCGAGCTTTTCTTAGACCACTAGGGTATTTCGTAAAACATCAAAGACCGACATCTTGGACGTGATCGGTCAAGCAACATACTTCCTGCCCTTATTATGTGCTGCTCTGCTCCCAGCACATGCACGGAATTAGCCGGGTTGACCCTTGGATCGAAGCCCGGTTTCCAGCACTGCTGTTCTATGCAGCGTTCGTACGGAGTTTCGCATCGGGTTGGCATGCATGGGTAGAAAATCTTCAAATATACAGGTTCAGCTTCACATTAACTGGCATATGACCGTTTCGGGTGGCTGTAATACAGTTCTGGATTCGTGTAACAGTTTGTCTGAAAGACGTGAACAGCTGCTGGCAGTTTCACCTGAACTTCAGCGCGGAGTGCAAACCCTATAGCCGTCGAATCCTGAACCCCTGGTCACCCGAGTCCTGGATCTGTTGTGCTGCGTCCAAAATACCGGCACATCAACCTGTAGCCGTGAACCCCAAGAAAAGAGCACGCCGCATGCTTGTGGAGTTCGTTTGATCAACACGGAAGCTTCGCGCCCGCAGTGCTATGCCATAAAATGCATAAAAGGGTCTTTGGTCGCATAGTTGTTTGAGGAAAACGTGTTGCTGCGTGTTGCAACCAAGAAGCGGTTGCCGCGGACGCCGTAGCAAGCGTTATCTCAAGTTTTTTTGCAAAGCCGAACAAAAAGGATGCGCTTGGACGGCAGGCATGGTGTGAACTGATGCACGCAGGTCATAAGTGCAGGCCTCGGCATGCTTGTTTTTAACTTGAACATGTTCCATTTGATCATCCTCGGTTATCCTTCAAAGTTACACCCTCGAACCCAACATGTCGAGTCGTACTCCACGTGAACACCACAAAAACCTGGGCTTTATTCCCAAACATTCCCAAACAGTTGAAAGCTTGCAACACCAATGCACAAGGGACCGTCAAATGAAGGTTCGACTCAACAAACCCAAGCCTTGGAAATCAACCCTAGATTTAGAGCATGTTCGACCTAAGCTGCAGCCCCAAACCTGCAAACACTTGCCACAGACCCGAATGCACAAGCACCAAAAACCGAACATTCCATCATCATATACATCCAAAATCCCAGAACTTTCTACCTCAAACCATCCAGCATGTCAGTTGTATTGTTGATTTGTGGGATAACATGCGGACCGGGGGTTCGGGATGTTGTTTGAGAGGTTGATGCCAGCCGACCCGCCGCCAGAAAATCCAAGTCACATCAGTATCGAACGCATGGCAGAAGCCTGTAACACAACACGCTACGGACGAGGATTTGGAGATTATCGATCGGTAACAGGCGTACGACAATTTGCAAACGCTCACAGCAGCAGTTTGACTTGTGTAAGACTGCACATGCCCGTGCAGTGCGCAGAAGCCTTGCGCCTATGAGCCTCAAAACCTTTAACTGCCAGCTGCCCTTAAAACCCAAGCCCTAACCTGCTACATCCCGAGCCTCCTTTGATACTCGACATCTCATAGCGAAACCGCTCGCAGCCGTCAGGTCCTATGTCCTCCCCTCCACCGGCATGCCCCTAGACGCTATACGACGTACCGTTTAGGCGTCAGAGTGTATGTTGACGGCATGGTTGCGAGATCTTCGAAATTTTGATTTGGGGCTGACAGCGTTCTGCTAGATGTGTACAGGGTTTTGGGGCTTGTTAGTGCGAGTTGAGTTTGAAAGAAAGAAACCAGGGATGGCTAAGTGGGTTTCAACCTATAGGCTGCATTGTAGTTCCTTTCTCTGGTTTCACCAAGTCTATCTGTATGTATATAGAAAATAGTATCCTATCAGTACTCCCACAAAAGGAACTACACTGGAGACTACAGGAAGGATGCAGGGTTCCTTTGGTCCTGGGCTCGAAACCGCGAGCCTAAATTTCGGAATGCTCATCGCCAGAGCACGGCTTCGTAGCCCAAGGGGTCCTAAGTACCTATACTAGAATGTGGGGTTTCTATATTAGGAATCTAGTATGATGTGGGAAAGTTTGGGATAGTACGGGATGGAGTTGTGGGCATACCATGCCGTTTAGCTGTCTGTAGTGTCGATATTCGGGCCTGGTGTTTTAAGGCTCTCCGGCGGTTTAGGGTTTAGGGGGGCGAAGATCTACATACGTCAAGTTTGGGTTTGGGTTCGCCGTAGGAAGACCGTGATGGCGAAGACGACGAGTGAAAGTTGAGGGCGAGGTGTGATTTAGGATTCGAGGTTGTGTGACGTGTGGGAGTTTGGATGCGAGATTCCGGGCATTGCAAGATCTAGGGTTTTCATGTCTAGGCTTTGGGCGATTCAGAGGTCAGGGTTTACATGTCAGTGCAAATGTTCAGGTTTCGGGGGCCACTCTGCGGACATGTTATATATGTTGGGCCCATTCTCTACCTGTAGTCTCCATTGTAGTTCCTTTTTTTGGCTTATCCAATGTTATATTCAGGATCCTAAAACGTAACCCCCAAAAGGAACTACAATGGAGACTATAGGTAGCTTGTACTGGAGGCAAAAAAAAATGCAAACGTGTAAACTGGAAACAAGAAGGCTCGGTCTTCGGTAGTGAATTAATTATGCGCTGAAATCCTGGGCCACATGCCTTCCTGCCGGGCCCGGTTGAGTGTTTCTGCAATGCCTGGTCACCGTTCCAGCTGCGAAAGGTGTATTGTAGGGTTGTTAACTGGTTTAAGGTTCCTCATTGTTCAGTTCAATATACCCCCAAACCCCATTCAAAATATTAAGGCCCTTACCTTGGCTCGACAGCGCGCCCGAAGTCCCGAAACCGTTGAAACTCTAAGCTGTTTTTTGCTTCCCAGCATGTCCTGGACCTTTGAACCTACTGGTACTTTTTTTAGGGCTCCCTATTCTGATTTCCTTTTTTCAATCCTTCAAACGGGTAGGTGATTCAGGGTACAGGTATTTTCTAACCGTACTTATGTACGACTCTTCTGCTGTTTCGAGGTTGGAGGGGATCACCCACAAGTCCTTCATCTTGCTCGTCGTGGGGGAAATGTTGAACATGCAGCTGAGATGCAGTCAGTGGTTGTAGCTCTCCTTGAGCTTTAAACCTATCCTAAACCCTTGGTTTAGGGGTTTAGGGTTTAGGGGAACCGTGTTCCGTCGGGTTGGAGCCAAAGGTCATCCGATGGCAACTTAAGATTCCCAAGAAAGAGGGTCAAAGCAAGAACCCCGCAGGCGAAAGCTACGTGCATTGGGTTTACATGAACCCTGAACCCTTATCTCCTACCAGGGCTCACGCTTCCCCTTGCGGATGCCCTTCAGGCAGTTGCAGTTGCATGACACTTCTATAGTCCTAGGGGTACTTAGATATAATGTGTAATTTTTGGTTATTATAATCCCCAAGAAACAGCTAAAATTATATTTTTTGCCAGGGTTCTAAGTTCAGTATAGAAATCTGTAGTTGCAAGCCCTAGCTTGATACATCTTCGGATCGATCCTCGGCGAATGCGCCTGGTAAGCTGTTTTCCGCAACGCCAAGAAGCTGCACCCTAACCCAGCCGTCGGATTTCGTAGTTGAAATCTGAAAACCGTAAACCCTAAATCCTAAGGCGTTATGTACTACCAATTATAGGGGCCGAAAGAATTATCTATACTATTTTTGGGGGGCTCCTTATGACAACTATAGTATAACATACCCCAACAACACACTTCTACCTATTAAGGCCCCGATACTAGGCCGTGCCAGGCTCGGTGGCTTGGTTCACTGGGCACTTTTAGGGTCCATTACCCTTAGTGCCCAAGTACCTAATTATCTTATACTTTCCAAAACAGTAACCTACAAAACTACTGTCTTGAACCCAAGTACCTGATTATTAGGTCCTTTGGACCCTTAGGGTGAGTGTTTAGGAGGGCAACAAGCAACCATGGTACTTGGAAAAAAAAGCAAAAGCTCACAACTTTCCCAAGTCCCAAGAGGGCCTTTTCAGACAAGGCCCTTCTTGCACCCCTCAAAAGCTTGCAAGAGGCCTTTCTTGCACCCTACAGTAAACCTCAACAGCTTGCAAGAGGCTTGTCTTGCACCTTACAGTGAAGCTCAAGAGTTGGGTCATGGATTGAGGATGTTTGCTGCTACGACTTTCTGATAGATTGGCAGAGACAGACCCTACAAAGCCAAGTCAGTCCCTTGACATACCCTATAATTAACGGAAAAACCTTCTAGCGAAAACGCTTGTTCACCCTTTTTCAGCCCCAAGCCCCAAGCCCGAAACCCTTACAAGCCCCCGGTCTACTAAGCATGGTCCCTTGGCGGTAGGTCGGCTGCATACGCATCGCAAACATACTCCCACTGGTGGACGCAACTTGCCTGCATCCGGCCTTGGCGGTCGTGTTTTGGTAGGCTAACGAGAAAATCAGGGGCCCTTGATTAGCAAACAAAAGTATTACAGTACTAAGGGGTACTACAGAAGGGCATGCTGGAGCGCTACTACTACCCAATTATTCAGACCCCTATGTTGGGGCTTGAGATTTAAGTGTTTAGGGTTTGGCATTTGCCTTTCGGGCCAAACAGAGCGGAACAAGGCTATAAAGTCTAGCTTCTACCCGACAGCACCCTTTGACGTCCTAAACCCTGTACCCTAAACCCCAAAACCCCCAAAACCCTAAACCCCCAAACCCTAAACCGAGCATTGGGGGCTGACACCTGTGGAACTCTAGGGCTTCCTTGCGTTTCCCTTGTGCACGGCATGTGCAATGATGACCTGGAGGTTCACGGGTAGTTATAAGTGGGGGTAAAAGTGGGGTAACTATACTTCTAACCCATATTCGGGGACTTATAACCCACTTATAACTACCCATGAACCTCCAAGTGCGGCTTGCAACATTCCCGGATCTTCCTGTCATTGAACCCTGGACTTGCAACCAAAGCCCCATGATCCCCACGACCTAACCCTGAATCCATCGATCTCTGTATGGGAATCGAAAATAGGGGACCCAAATGTAATACCCTAAATAGTAGGATCCTTATTACAAGGACCCCCAAAACAAGGTACCCCCTATTTTCGGAATAGCGCCTGGAACCCTTAAGCCGCAACATCGTCTTGGATGCGTCCCTAAACCCTAAACCCTAAACCCTAAACCCCCTAAACCCTAAACCCTAAACCCTAAACCCTAAACCCTAAACCCCCTAAACCCTAAACCCTAAACCCTAAACCCTAAACCCTAAACCCTCAACCCTAAACCCTAAAGCCTTCGTCGGAAGGGTTAGTCGCTGCCCAACGCGCGCCGGCAAGCAAATGCTCGCAATGTCGCCACGACCGTGTGCTATGCCGTGTGGGCTAGAAGCAGAATTCGCCACGCCGGAAAGTCAGCCCTAAACACCAACCATAAACCCCAAACATCCCTAATTACACCCTTACAGACGCATCACTGTAGACTCTAGCTCCACTGCACAGCCGAATCACCCAGGCTCAACGGCTGGGAGCCCTCTGAGATAGCTGGCTTTGCGCTGCTGGCTGGGATCCCGGATTGGGTTACTAAAGGGGCCTAAGAATTACCAATATTGTTTTGGGGGCTCCTTATTATTACAAGTACAGTACAATGGGCCCAAAGACCTTGTTCCAATTATTACGGCCCTTGTTTAGGCCTTCGTGGTGCTGTGACGTCGCGTGTGATGAAAATTGTTCTGAGCGACAAGTTTGGTTTCCCAAAGGGTCCAAAGTACCTATATGGTAGAATGTAGGGTTTTTATATCAGGAATCCTTGGGAAAGTATCCCCCATAGCAGTACCTCGGACCCTCGGGTCTGAGCTTCCTGATGGCACTGCAGTCCTGACGATTCTCACAGCGATGGCCACACGGCGCAAACCCTCGAGGATTAACCGAGAAACGAAGGAACAATAGCGTAGAATCTGGACGACGACCATGGTGATGATGACTGAGGATGACAGGAGCACGAAAGCCTGCAGGTGGTGATGATGTTGATGATGATGATGACCGTGACCGTGGTCACGGCCATGCTGACTTTGCCGCTGAGAACTTGAAAAACTGGAGTGGCGCTTAACACTAACACTGTTGCGCATACTAGTGCTTTAACTTGTACTATTCTATTGCTATTCCTACCAGCTCTCCCATGCCTATAGTACAACTGTTATCAAAACTACTCTTACTAAAAGTAGTTTTAATAAAAGTTGTACTTACGGTAGCTGTTCTCTCATGACCCAAGCTTCAGGCCATGTGCAAATGGCATAAACTAATCTCAGGTCCGGCTCCGAAGGCAATAACAGGTAGGAATTTCATGGGCGGTTGTCAAAATTATGGTCCCTTTTTGGGTCCTTATTATAATACGGCACCTAATATTTAAGGTGCCCAAAAAGGGACCCTAATTTTGACAACCACCCACATATAGAGGAGTATGTTACAGTAGAGTAGAGTACAGTATAGTATAATAGAATGGTATGCGTATTTTTTATAGTGCAGTATAGTATCGGATAGCATAGGATAGTATGCTATGGTATGGTATGGTATAATATATAGTATAGTAAAGTACAGTACAGTAGCGCATAGCGTAGCATAGCATACTATAGCCAAGTACAGTACAGTATAAGTACAGAAACACACATGTAAAGGATAGCACGTTGGCCGGTGGTGTGTAGGACAAGTTTTTTGTTGGTTTCTGGCTCCAGGCGGCAGAAGCCTCTAAGCCGAAACGCACGAAGCCCTGAGGCCCAAGTATTTGGAGACCCGGCTGGAAACCCTACTATAGGGGCCTAACTTTAAAAAACGGTAAAACATACAACAAAAACCTATTCTAGCTACTGAGGGGTGTAGAGCAAGTAGTTTTCAGGGTTCATCTTACCGTCCCATGCAAGAACATGGCACCTTCAAGGCTGATCATGGAAGACTGCCTTTGACAGAAGACTGTTTGGGGTGTCCATGTTGGTTCCGGGCAGAGTAGGACTAGGAAGTTTTGGAGACTCTGTACTGGCCCTACTTGGAGGTTCATGGGTAGTTATAAGTACGGTTATAAGTAGGGTAACTATACTTACAACCCATATTAGGAGACTTATAACCCCACTTATAACTACCCATGAACCTCCAAGTATGGGTGAAGAGAATGCTGTTCGGGTTTTAGGGGTTCAGGGTTTGGGGACAACCCTCTAGGCCTAAAGCAATCAACTTACTGCAAACTCTCAGCCCCACAACCCCTAAATCCCAAGTCCTAAACCCTGAACCCGAAAGCCCAACAAAAGAGAAGCAACCCACACTCTTCATTGTGGTTCCTTTTTGGGGTTACCTTTCAAGATCCCTCATACAAAATTGGCGAAACCAGAAGAAATAACTACAGCCGAGACTTTCGGAAGACTTGTTAACCTTTGAAACCAAAGCCCCGAACCCCCTGAACCCCTACACCCTAAACCCCGAAACCCCTAACCCCTAAACCCCTGCACCCTAAAGAAGAACTGTAAAGCCCCGAAACTGCGAGATTGGCCTGCTGTCTCCATTGGCGCTCTGTATCATCTTCGGGCTACTGGCGCGGATGACGCTTGGGAAGGTTTCAGGGGTTTAGGGGTAGTGTTTAGGGTTTAGGGGTCGGGTTTAAGGGCTCAAAAATTATGGTTTAGGGGTTTATGGTCAGGGGTGTGGGGTTTGGGATCTCAGGGTAGGGGTTCAGGGCTTAGGGTTTGGGTTTGGGGGTTTGGCGTTCTTTGGTGGAAGTGGAAGCACCTTTCGTATTCCTGGTACGTTGTTGGTTTCTTTTTTCAGTACGGCTTGTGGGGATTAGGGCACGGGGGTTTAGGGGTGTAGTCTTCGGGGTGTAGAGCTCAAACCCTAAACCCTTGTAGTGTTCATGATCTAGGGACCCTAATATAGTGCCCTTTACCAAATAGTAGGATCCTCATCGGATCCCCAAATAAGGTACCCCGCCTATACATTTCGGAGACTCCCAGATGGGATTGGGGTTTAGGGTTTCGGTTCGCAGTCTAAAGAGTTTCGGCTTGAGGGGTATAGGTCCAGCAATCATAGCCTTCACGAGGGATTGTGTAATATTGGGGGGGGGGGGGGGGCTTACATAATAGTTGCCTATACCACTTTGGGGGGGGTTCATTATTAAAATTGTAGTGGAGTATCCACCCGAACCCTATTCTAAGTCTTCAGGCTCCTTTATTAAGAGTTTCGGGTATACGATTTGTCAGCACAGCAGGCTTAGTTATTCTAGATCATGCATTCGAAGTTCTAAAGTTGAAAGAACACAGCCCCAGAGACCCGACAGAGGAGGTTACAGAGGTTAGGTTGAGAGGCCCTGCTTTAATGCTTCAGGGGCCCAGGTTTCACTTGTGAAGTCAGACTACGAACGCCACTTTGGCTCAAGAAAAAGAAGGGCAATGCAGCTAGATGCCCTGGTTCTTTAGAGGGTTGGCCGGGTTTAAGTACCTTCCTTCCCTCTTGATTGGTTATCAGCCGTAGCTCTTTGTTTCCTTTGGTTTCCTACTTGAACCCGGCCGCAGGGTTTTAGTGGTTCTTCCCCCTGCCATAGCAAGAGCGCAGCCTTAGGCGCGCTGGTGGGCAGATTGCTAGTGGGGTGCTGCCTTGTGCGCACCGGCTAGCATATGCCACCAAAGGGCGAGGCACCTGCCGGAGACAAACCCTACAGAGGGGGCCGCGCAGGAGCGAAGAGGAGGAAGCTTCACTTTTACCAAGCGCAGGACGCTTTGATCCAACTTGCTGAGTCGGTACAGAACATAATCGTGCGCAGGCGGAACTTTGAAGACGTTACCGAGGCCCACTACGACACGATTATTAGGTTCGGCCAGATTACAGAACAGGTCGACGTATTCCACCCAGTGTGGGCAGACCTGGTCGAGTACTATCCTGAGTTGTGGACTGCTTTTTCGGACGTGACGGAAGAGCCTGCCACTGGGTCAGGAGCGCGTTGGAGGCCGAAAGCCGCGGCAAAGGCAGCTGGGTCGGGGGGTGCTGCTTCAAGCGCACCACAGGAGGAGGAGCAGCCAGCCGAGGAAGCGTCAGGCGCGCCCGCAGAGGGTGCAGCCCCTGGCGCACCGGCGCAGCCGCCCACACCTCCGAAGGCGCCGGCTCTTGGAATAAGGGGACCCACGCGGGACCTTTATTACAGGGGCCGGAGCGACCCACTGAGGCAGAGGAGGGTGCCAGCAGAGCCAGAACAGATCATTGAAGACACTGGCGCGAGAGCATCTTCCGAGCCACCGGCTGCCGAGGACGAGGTAGATCTGTCCAGAGCTGGCGGGAATCCGGCAGAAGATTCCCTGCGATCTGCCAGGCGCGTCCGCACCCCGCCGGCGCGGCGAGCGCAAGAGGAGGCACGCCTGGAGGAGCTTAGGCTCCGCGGCTCGGTGTTTGCCTCTTTTAGGGACGCCGAAGACGCGGAGCCCGAGCAGGCCGAGCAGGCAGAGCAGGCAGCCGGCCGGGAGGAGACCGAGGAGATAGAGGTAGAGGTCGAGGTTGCCCAAGGCGACGACGGGGGTGCTGCCGTTGGCGCACCGGACGACGAGCCCGCAACCGAAGGCCGACAGGCAGAAGGCGCCGAGGAGGAAGAGGCAGCAGAGGAGGACGAGGCAATAGACGTGCCCCCTGCCTCGGAGGCAACAGTTTCTCCAGCCCCCTCGGAAGCCGCAGCCCCGATCAGAGAAGTGCGCGTGAGTGTGGGCCGCGGCCGGGGTGTGACCCGAAGGCCGCTTATCCTGGCACCCGCCACCGAGACTTTCCCCACAGTTCGGGTTGATAGTCAGGGTGCTTGGGTTAGGGTTAGGGATCCTAGTGCAGTTCCCTCCTTTCAGCGTCGTGCCGTGCCCCCCCCGAGGGTGCAGCGCACCGCACACCAAGGGGACGCAGAAGAAGCACTTAGTGCACCTGATCCGTTTGATTTGCCCAACGACGCGTGGATCGACCCACATTCTTACCGGGAGGCCTATACAGCTAGTGGGGTTCCTAGGGGTGTGTCCGTAGCGCGCATAGACACCAGCTCAGAAGAGGAAGGTAGGCAGCGGGGTGCTGCCCTTGAGACGGCGACCCGCGACTCCGGAGGGAGAGCCTCCAACGAGGCGCCCCCGCGTTGTCTTGACCCCAGCGTCCAAGGCATCAAGCGTCCCCGCCACAGCCAGCGCACCGTTGAGGGTGACGCGCCCGCCTCCAAAGGCCAGGCCCAGGACCGCAGGCGAAGGCACAAGCACAGGCACAGGTCAGGCCAAGAGAGGTGCAAAGGCAGAGCCCATAGAAGCCGTCGAGGAAGCAGGGCCCAGAGAGCGCACAAGGACCCCGCGCCGACCAGAAGCAGCTCCCCCAAAGGGTGCTGCCCAGGCGCACCGGGGTCGAGGGCGCAGCGGGTCCTGGCCGCCCAAGCGGCAAGCATCTTCTTCACCAGAGGGTGCGGTTTCTGAGGGTGACTCCCCAAGGTCACGTGCACCGGCGACCAAGGAGAGCCTGCCAAAGGCGCGGCAGTCGCAGCCAAAGCTGCCCTCGAAGGTGCCACCCACAGATAGGCACGGGGTAAAGTATAAGTCCCCTCCTGTGCCGGCGCCACCCGCGCCAAAGGGGACGGCAGCACAGGCGGTGTTCAAGGGCCCGCCGCACGCTGTGTTTGTGGCTAGCATCACCAGAGGTGGCCAGGAGCAGCCCAAAGCAACTTCCAAGGCTCCGCCGCCGATTGTCACCGGCAACCGCCAGAAGCTAGCTTATCACGCGTGGGCACAGCAGGCTAGAGACGAGGAGAACGCCCAGGCCGCAGCTTCAAGCGCGGCAGCTGCCAGTGCTTCCTCGCAAAGGGTGCTTGCTTCGCGCACCGAGGCCACGATTGTCTTCGACTGGCACCACGTCTTAGACAAGGCCTGGATCGAGTCCACAGGAGCTACCTGGGAGACCCGCCGTGGCTCCCACGGATATTTCAACCTTGAGTTTGTGGACGCGCTCAAAGCATTCTGCGAGGAGCATAAGCCACTCCGATTGGCAATTTTAAGCTATAGCACACCCTCTTCATCGGCGTGGTATCGTCATCATTTCCTCGAAGAGGCCTTAGAGTGCTTGCGTTTGGTGTTGCCGCTGAGCATCAACCTCAGCATCGGCCAAACATATCAGCGCACTGGCCCCGACGGGAAGGCACAACAGTTGTGCCAGATAGAGCCGCCAGCAAGTCTCATTATTGACGACAATCGCGGCATTATAAAAGAGTGCGCGAAGACAGGCGCGCTCACTGTGCAGGCGCAGAAGGGTGGCGGCGTCGACCAGCTGATCTTCGAGCTCAACCAGGCAAGCGCGTTGATCAAGCGAACGGGGCGCAACAACCTCCCAAAGGCTCGCCACCTGGAGCCCCGCGAGCTCCTTTACGAGAGGTAGCGCCCTAGGGTGCTGCCATTGGCGCACCGGGCCGGCTCACCCAGCCTGCGTGTCGCCACCGCCTGCTCCTCTCGCGGCGCCCTAGGGTGCTGCTCCAAGCGCACCGGGCCACCTTAGTGGTTTAGTGCCTTGGGTTTTTGTAGCATAGGGGTCGCAAACGTCAGCCCCATCCTCTCGGGCCGCCGCCGCCGCACGACACCATCCCTTGCAGCGCCCTAGGGTGCTGCCTGTGGCGCACCGGGCCGGGTAACAGGTCTAGGGTGCATTTGGGTTCTAGTGCTGGGTGGTGGTCCCTAGAGACAGTGTATCATACTTTTGCCTTTGTGTGTGTGCTGCCTTTTGCGCACAGCCGTCGGCACACACCTTCTTTCAAGACACTTGGTCCCCGAACGGGCCGACCATCGCGAGCATCAGTCACAAAAGTCTTTTCGAGAGTGGTTGCGTGAGGGGTCCTGTTTTCTTGCCCCCTCCCCTTTTGCCCTAAGGTTCTTTTGGGGATTCTTTCGGGTCCCGGCCGATAGGCGGTTTTCGTAGACAGGGTGTTGTTTGGGCTCAAAGGCTCAAGCTTCAGGAGGTGAAGCCATGTCAGGCATCTCCCCACCATCAGAAGACCGAAGCCGAAGCCGAGCATCCGGGGAATCCTCCTTTAGCGACCCAGAGCTTTTTAGCGGCCAGGCCTTGGTGCCAGCTGCGGCAACCATTCTTAGGATTAACCAGCCTACCCCCGCACCACAAAGGAGTGAAGGGTATAGCTCGTCCTCCGCGGCGTCTCCCCCACAAAGGGGTCCCGAACTTAGCGCAACACAAGCCACCTTTATTGCAGGTGCCGCCGTGACACACGCCCACCACGCCTCCGGCGTTGCCTTGGGTGCTGCGTCCCTCGCGCACCAGGCTGCAGAAAGGGAACAGCAAACAGTTGCTCAAGCAAGGGAGGCTGTAATGCAAGCAGGCTTCCAAGCTGCAGCGGCCGAGGCACAGTACCGCGACGAGGCCCAGTCGATCGCACGAGCTGCGCAGGGTATCGTGGATGATGCTAGGTTTCGAGAAGCCAGCCTTAGGCAAGAAGCCCAATCTGCCATTGACGCCACCAATCGTGAGGCTCAACAACGGGTCTCGGTGATTCAAGGTGAGGCCCAGCAAGCCATAGCCCAAAGCAACCATTCAGCCCAAGC